CTATAAATTGTTAGAAGCACTTTGGAGAAATATTTTCATATTTGAAGATATGGTATGAATATAAGACATTTTCTAATAAAGAAGACAAAAGAAAAAGGATTAAAAAAAGAAATGAGAGCAGATACTTAAAAAATAGGGTTTATGCACATAAGAAAGATGTGTGAGGTAAGGAAGAATGATGAACTGTAAGTAGTGAACAGTAGATGGTAAATGTAAATAAGTTGACTAATGAGAGCTAAGTTAGACAAAAAGTCATAAATCTGTAGCAGTTTGAATCCACTGAGGGAGAAAAGATCCTCCTATGCAATCTCCTCCTGTGCAAGGTAGAGCTTTTGAAAACCCACTGGAGGCTCAGGTATGAGTCGATTCTGACTTGACAACAATGACTCTGGATTTTGATTTTTAGACTCAATGAAATGATGACATGAAAATTTACAGGAAAGCATCCTAAAAAATCTACAACCACGAGAGGATAAAACAGATGAATGGGACCTTGTAAGAATCAAATCCCTATGCATATTCAAAAACTTCTCCAACAGGGTAAAAAGGGAAGCCACAGACTGGGAAAAAATATTTGGTAAAGACATGTCAGATAAGGAACTTATGTCTACAATTTATAAAATACTCAAGCATCACAACAAGATAAAGGTAAATAACCCAGTTGAAAAATGGGCATAGAATATGAACAGACACTTCACCAGAGAAGACATTCAGATGACTAACAAGCACATGAAGAAATGTTCAAAATTCCTAGCTCTAATTGAGATGCAAATCAAAGCAACTATGAGATACCATCTTACCCCAGTAAGAACAGCAAAATTTAACAGAACAGCAAACAACAAATGCTAGTGAGGTTGTGGAGAAACTGGAACCCTTATTCACTTTTGGTGGGAGTGTAAAATGTGCAAGCACTATGGAAGGCTGTATGGCGCTTTCTCAAAAAGTTGCAAATAGAAATACCATTTGACCCAGCAATTCTACTACTTGGAATATACCCTAAAGAAACCATTATTGCCACCCAAGCAAATATATGCACACCAATGGTTATAGCTATTTTGTTTACAAAAGGAAAGAGTTGGAAAAAACCCACGTGCCCATCAACAAACAAATGGATAGAGAAGCTTTGGTATTTACACAAATGGAGTACTATGCTGCCCTGAAACACAAGTTACTCATGAAATATACAACATGGGTTACCCTGGAGGACATTATGTTGAGTGAAATATCTCAGTCATAAAAGGACAAATACTGCATGGTGCCACTGTTACAAAAGAGGACTGACACAGGGGTTAGGGGGAGACTCAGACAGAGGGGATAAATAATGCATACTGCATTGAAACTGATGAGGGAGAGAACTGTTTAAAAGGGATAGATGATTAGGTATTATTGTCATGACTGGAGTCCAGAATGATGGCAGAATAGTGGAGTGGACTTGGGAGGAGGGATTGTTTAACAAGGAAAGAATTTCTCTTTTACTTTTCAAAGAGAAGAGCAAACTGGGGGCGGGGAGTGGGCAGGGAGAAAAGTTCAACAATTAATGAATGGAAATCCAAAGTTTCTGTAAACTTTCATTAAAATTCATTTTAAAAACTTATAGGAAATGTGCTATAGCTCAAATATAAATAATAAGAGCATTATTGAAGAGAAAGGCAAGGATTCTTACTGACTTTAGACTTCATGCTAAATATTCATGCTGTAAGAGCTAGAGTGGCCTCTAAAATAATAAACAGCTTAAATGTTTCCCTTCCTAACAAGTGGCAGAAATAAGAGAGGAAAAACCAAAACCCTCAAGTAATTCAAAAGGAGGAAGGGGAAGGTGGCATGGACAGAGAAAACAGTGATTAACAGAGAAAACTAAAAACAAAAGCACAAATAAAAACATATAATAAGACATAAGAGACAATATTAACAATAAATACAAGTGGAAATATCCAATTTAAAAGTAACACTTCTGAGAATAAGAAACTATATTCAGCTATACACTCTTATCTAAGTATTTAACAAAACATGAAAATATCAAGAACTGAAATTCAAAGGCAATTAAAAATATATTAAATTAACATAAACAAATAGAAACTACTTAATAATTCCAAGCAAGGAAATGACATGAAAATACTTTAAAAGAACACACTGCTGTGTATTTTTTTTTTTGCAACAAGCACTATAAATGAATTTTCAATTCTACAGCCCCATTCAATTCAGATGAGGATTCCAGCTTATTAATGTCTTTAGAAATCTGATTCTTTTGTCTAGTGACTGGTGAAAATTTGGTAAGTATGCCAGCCCTGGATTTATGTAAACCCGTGACAAAAAAGTGATTAAGAGATTAACACCTAATCAATGCTAAGGAGCATAATAACAGAGGTACCTTCACAAATTGGTCAAGGAAAGCTTATTAAACCATCAAAAACTTTTCCAACAGAATGAAAAGAAAACCTCCTGACTGGGGAAAAATTTGGCAAGACCATTTTAGACAATGATCTCATATCAAAAGTTTACAGAATCCCACAGGGCCTCCACAAGAAAAAGACTGATAACATAATTACAAAATGGGCAAAAGAATGGAAAGAATTATCACAGAGGAAGACATTCAGATGGCCAACAGACTCATGAAGAAATGCTCAAAATCACTGGCAATAAGAGAGATGCAAATAAAAACCACAGTGAGATACCCAAGTAGCAAATGGCAAAGTTTAACAGGGCAGCAAATAATAAATGTTGGAGAGGATATGGCGTTATGTTGTTGTTGTTGAAGATTACTATCAAGTCGTGCACAACTCATAGTGACTCCGTAAACAAAAGACCTGAAGCCTTTCTATAACCATCATTTCTCCAAGTTCATAAGAGTTTCCAGAGGCATGTTGTTTAGGAAGTGGATGCCACTCCTGCTTCCTAATCTGCATTAAATTTGGGAGTTCCACCAAACACTGTCACCATGGGCAGCCATTATGGCATTTGAGACCCCAATGGTAACAAGGCTCAGCATCACAGCAAACCCAGATTACCTCAGTACAGCAAATTGACAGAAGAGTGCTGTATGACTTAGAAGAATGTTACTCCAAAATATCGTAGCAAAGGAATAAAAGATAATCCCTCAGACTTGACATATTAAATATAAGGGCCCTCCAGGAGGTTTTGTTGACTCTAAATAAGAGGCTTTAGTAATAATAAAAAAGAAAAGAAAAATATTCCACAATGACCCTCAACCAAAATAAGAGAGCCCATCTTACAGAGTCCAGTTGGTTCACCACTTTCCAAATGGAGACAGGGCTTGGCCTTAATGCAAGCTTCCTCCTGGAGGTCTTGTTGACTCTAAACAAGAGGCTTAAAGAATGAAGCAATCCACACAGATACTCAACCAAAACAAGAGCAACATCATACAAAGTCGAGCCAATGGAAGTCCAATATGAAAGACAAGGGCTTGTCAATATATATTGTTGTTGTTAAGTGTCATCTAGTTCTGATGCCATAAACAAAAGACTTTAACTTTGTTCCATAACTATTGTCCTTTCTCTAAGTTCATAGAGTTTCCACAGGCATTTTTATTTTTAGTAAGCAGATGCCACTCCTGCTTCCAAGCCTGTCTTAATCTATTAGCTAACCAGATATTGTCAACCATGTGTAACCATTATGGCACAACGTTCAGTATCACAGGAATCCAAAGTCACCTCAATTCAGAGAAATGACAGAAAAGTGCTGTACCACTTAGGAGTGTTCATTTCAAAAACAATGACAGCCAGGCCTGAGGGCCAAAGGTTTGAGGGTCCAAATGGGATTTTAAAGGCCACAGGCTAATGCTTCAGGCCCTCACTGGTTCGCAGCAAGAGGCTTTGGTCAACCAAAGACAACTCCGAGCCTTCCCACACCAACACAGAAAGAATGCAAAGAAATCCTTACACACTGTTGGTGGAACTGTAAAATGGTACACCCACTTCGGGAGACAGTTTGGCTTTTCCTCAGAAACCTGAACATAGAAATTCCATATGAACCAGCTATTCCACTGCTTGGAATATACCCCAAGATAATGAGAACTGAGGCACAAATGGAGACATGTATTCCAATGTTCATAGCAGCATTATTCACCATTGCAAGAACATGGATACAGCCCAAATGTCCAATCACAATCAAACGGATTGAAAAATTACAGTACATTCACACAATGGAATACTATGCAGCATGCAGGAACAATGATTTTGTAAATTACTACTTAAATGACAAGAGGGATGAGGATTGGAGGGGTGGGGCAGACAGCACGGGAGGTACGGCAGCTGTTAATCATAGGGTCACACAATTAGATGGGTGGAGGGAGGGAGGAATAAATGAAATGGAAAAGATCTGGTGTAAAAACCAATATATACAAACTTGGTAAGTAAATCAATATAAAGTAAAAATTTTATTTTAAATTTTAAAAAAGATCTACAGAGATTTTGGAATTCCATTCATTCATTGTTGCACCCTTCTCCCCCACAAACCCCTTCCCCCTCTCCCCCCCTTGCTCCTCTCCTTGAAAAGCAAAAGAAAAACTCCCTCATTGGTACACAATCCCCCCCGCACCTCCCCAAACCCCAC